AGTATTTAGAATTCGATTTTCAGTGTTTATTATTTACGGACAAGTACAAGATGACCATGGATGATCTCGACGGCTGACGAACAGGATGCTGCCTGAAGGACGACCCTAAGCATTTTCAACTGAGGCGTCAACAAAGAAGTGGAATCATGCTTTGGGCTGGAATTAATGGTAATGAGTTGGTTGCCTCCCTAAGAGTTGCCGATGGCTTAAAAATGAACTCTTCCACCTACGTTTCAACATTGGTCAAGAAAAAAACACTGACATTCAAGCAAAAAATGGTATAAGGCACCAGCTCATACTGCTATCGTAACTTGTTGAATACTTAGCTAATTTAGGGTGAAAAAATTTTGAGGCTTCATCAAGAGACGCCTTTATAAATAAGTTAAACAATTTTCATCCAAGAATGAACTTTGGGAAGCAGTATCAACTCTTTGACACAGTCACTTTGAACGAAATTCTAATTTTTTTCTATCGACGCTAACATTTTTAGTCATCAGAAAAAATGATATATATCAGAAAATAATATTACTTTTATGCTGTGTTTGACAAAACGTTTAATTTTGCTTTAAATGTCATTCTTTCGAATAAACTATTGTTGCATTTTCTCGCTCTTTTATTATCACCTTATTACTTTTAATTCATTCGCCTGACATGTTTGCATATAAATTGGAACGATTTAAGTAATCATATTTTTTTATAATCCAGCATAAATGAATTTCTATATTTGAATACGATCACAGATTTTGTGATATTGCGTAGAAATCTACGGCCTATATTTGACCGAGATTTGATGATGATTAGTTTCATAATTATTATCATTTTATTGGTTTTCATATAAAATTGAAACTCAGTGTATTGCCGTTTATAGCTGCGAAATGCAGCTTTCACGGTGAAGAAAGTTTAATTATAATTTGTTCATGGACAACACAATAAAGATCACCAGTTGAGATTAATTTTAAACTTAAAGTTTGAAAAGTATTCTCTAGTATTGTTGTGTAGGAACCTACCACCCCTCTTGAAGATGAACTCGTCTACAAACAAGGACGTTAAATAGTGGCATGTCAAAAGACAGTGTCGGAGAAGTTCTGGGCTGAGTTAGTTATAGACTACTCAGGCGATTTCTGTACCAACTTACCAACCGAATAAACCCCATTTTATTGTTACATGTTATTTGGCGTTTGTCTTTATTAACCCCAAATTAACATCATAACAAGTATTTAACTAGGATCCAACTATTAAAGTTTTTGCTAAAATAGCTTTGTTAATTATCGCACGTAGCAGCTCAAACCAATCCCATTGCTTATTAAAAAATATAGAGGAGCTTGAGAATATGCATATATAAATATATATATATATATATATATATATATATATATATATATAATATATATATTTTATAATTTAATGTACTTTATTTGTACCCGCTTGTTTTTTTTTCTGTCAAAGTATTTTTTATATTTTGTCAAACATTTGTTTTATAAGAAAATCTATTTGTACATTCTTTTTTTTTATTGTTTCTTTATTATTTTTTAGATAAAATAAAACATGTTACAGAAACAAAATATGCTTGTTTCATATTTATAATACTGAAAGTATCTTTCAATTCCTTCAAATAAATGACCTAATTCCAGTCTGGTGTTATATTCTTCTTTGATGAGACTTTCTGGTTTGCATGCTGCTGTTGCTGCTACTACATCGCTTACCTGTCTCAGGATAACTGCAGCTGCTACTGTCGCCTCTAATATTTGGGAAAATATATGAAATAAGACGCGGGTTTTGCAGATATTCCCCTATTGGAATAAACCAGAATGTGCGGCCAGTTATGTACATTTCAATGAAAACTGCCCTAATGTGCCTGACATAACACTATCAATATCCTACCCGATCGATATAAAAGTATATCTTACGTATCATTATTTACAGATTATCATATTCGGAACACGAATACCACACCGCCACTGATTACAAAGTGGATTGTATTTGATACAATTTCGACGGAAATATACCTGTATTGTTATCGCTGTACATAATAAATGAAAACACAAAAATTAATCTCTCTTACGTAATATTATTTTTTATTTCATTCTGAATTTCGTCAATTTATCCCCAGACAGTGGATGTGTGTGAACCCGTGGCCCTCTCCGAACGTACTCTCTATAATCTCATGGGGATGTAAGACATATATAACAAATATAGAGGTTAATGATTAACAGTAGGAACAGACGAAAGCTTGTAAAGACCTTATGCAACTGGAATTTATAAAGAGGGATGGAATTGTTTTGCGAAGATGTATTCTCGCCATTTAAATCATTAACCTCTATATTTGTTTTTTGTATGAATGATTCATGTAATTATAAAAACTGCACCTATAATCGAAATAACGGATAACCTACCAGTACAAAGAGTTCTCCTATTACTATATTTTGTTAATTTCTCATGGCATTTTTTCGGATTACATCTATATTTTCGTTCTATTTCCATGGGGAACAGACGAAAGCTTGTAAAAACTAAAAAAAAAACTTATAACTGGAATTTATAAACAGGATCATATCATAGAGGTTTTTGTATGAATGATTCATGTAATTATAAATTGAACATTCAAATACAGAATTTAATTTTGTTAAATTAAAAGCATTAGTTCCATTTCATCTTCAAGGAATTTTGGACACATTGAGCACTATTTTGTAAAAAATAAAATATCTTAATAACACCGGAATTTATATCTTACTGTCTTTTATTTATACATATATATATATATATATATATATATATATATATATATTATTTATTCATATCAGATGTTTTGAAATTAATTTATTGGGTTCTATCCAAATATGTACCTGTACCTTAAAACTTTATTTCCCAAATACCTACCGACTGCAGAATCTCGCCTCACAGGATGCCATTTGCTTCCCCCGACATGTAAACAGATGGACCATCCAGCAGCATTTTGTATCTACAACCGAGAGATAAATAAGTGCCCCACACGAGTGGGAAAGAATGAGAAGCGTTTCTCGCATCCTCGCGGAAAGAAGAATCCACGTTCTTACATAGCCCACAAGGCCACACACCCTGACGTCTGTATTAGTTTATGAAATTCAGAGATGCATAAAGAATGGAAACAGTAAAATAGTTAACAAAATTTTAAAGCTATGATTTCAACTAAAACGTATTTTTATGTTCATTTATTTTTTCTATTTATCTGTATCACTGCTTCATTTTGCAGATCCACGTAATATCTTATTGGTTCAAAGTCATTTTATATGGAACAAAATATTTACGAATCCGAAAGATTAACCCTAGATAATCCTAAAAGAAAATATCAGTAAAGATTACAGTATTTACTTAACATTGCTTCAATCAGAATTTGACTTAATAAAATTCTTCTGTTTACTTTCTTTTAAATTCGGTAACGGTTTAAACAAATATATTTACAGATATATTTCACAAATACATACAGGGTGTCCATAAAGTCTCTTTACAATTTAAAAAAATTATTACAAAGCAAATGAACAGACAAATATGTGGAAATTATTACAAAATGAGCAGTAGACATTGAAGTATTTTTAACTAATTTAGCAAACCTCTATATGGGCACCATTAGTTGCCCGAAACACATCAAAACGGTATTCGATTTCTTGCTATGTTCGCTGTAGTCTGGCCTCATCACTGGTAGCAATGGCATCCGTGATCTTTTGGCTTAGATCACTGATGTCCCGTATCTTTGTTCGATACACAATATCGTTAACATAACTCCATAGAAAGAAGTCCAGGGGAGTGATATCAGATGAATGAAGTGGTGAACAGGGAATTGGGCCATCCCTTCCAATCCACCGCTCTGCTAGGGATTCATTTAACAGTACCTCTTTCATCAACAGGATACTGGAAATACACAAATGCAATGTGATTAAAAAATTTGATAATTACTGAGTACATAGAACAAATCTGATTAAGATATCTCATCAATTGGCTTTCTTTGTAGGCACAGTGGAGTAATGGATAGAGGCTCGCATTGCGGAATCGGAGAAGCGAGTTCGAATTCCAGTCGAATCCGTTACATTCACTTATGTGCATGGGAAATGTGTGAATCCTCGTCTACTCCCACCTACAGGTATGGGCAAATAGCAGGACAGACCGGGATCTATAGCTTTGGATGGCAACTGGTCTGCCGCAGAAAGAAATAGCAACCTACTACGGGAAAAAATCTGCCTCGTCAGTCATGTATCGAAAGACACATGATCGCCAAAAAATGACTTAATATATATTTTTTTAAATTGTAAAGAGACTTTATGGACACACTGTATATATTTCACATATGCGTACGTTAAAAAAAATGGAAACACGCTTTTACAGGATGAATTCTCTTCTCTCCTTCCCAACAAATCCATTTCGCTTCTATTTGGTAAATTATTTCGCGAACACCCGGTTTACAGGCTATAAGAATAAATTAAAGGCAATAAATTTATTTTACGCCTCACTTATAAAGCCATGAAAGGGAACAGCGAATTTATGGTTGAGGTATTTACGAGAGTTCTTTCTGGAGAGGAAAATAACAAAGCTGCTAATAACAAAAATATGCCAAGTCATAAGGTCGATTCGTAGAGTTTTGAGATTCTTAACATAAAAAGATTACTTTCTCTTCAGGACACTTGGGTAAAGTACTTTTGGTATTCAGATCTGAGGATTTGAACTGAAAAGCTCTTCTGGGAAAAAACAATTCTTTCCTTCATAAACTGCCTTATACAACAACAACAACAGTAACTACAACGACACCAACTACATTATTAATAATAATTACCATAATAAATATTAATACAAATAATATTGTGATAATCATAATAAATATAACACTAGCTTACCCACCGTGGTCAAAAAGATGTTTTTAGTCCTTTGTGTTATTAGATTTTCACATGTGAGTTTTTAAATATATTTTTCCAATTATTATTATTCTCTCGTCTTCGGAGTTTTTCTTCGTAAATATCTTTGAACAGTCCGCTTGCTTACGGCCACATCACGTTGAATCACCGCTTCCCGTACGATCACTGAAGTTAAACAACGTTGACAATGATCAATACCTAGATGGGTGCCTGCTTAGGAATGCCAAGTGCTGTAAGCTTGGGTGTGCGGGTGATGTAATGGATAATGAGACGGAATTGTTAATCTGAGAGCCGGGTTCCAATGCCTATTGGGTTCGTTACATTCCCTTAAGGGCAAATACCTTTGGGAAAGGTATAACTCCACCTCTTATCTCACCCTCAGTTATGGGTTAATTATAAAGATTTATATCACTAAAACGATTATTATCTTAAAAAAAAAAAAAAAAAAAAAGATAAGTTTCTTATACTCTGAAAATATTTTTCTGGCTTTAAATAACCTGCAAAGGGCTAATGAGCCGTATAAAACGAATCAAACAATCAATGCACAGCCCGCTGCTGTCACTCATGTTACTGTTAGCGAGATAACTCTAACCCAGAAAAATGTTACATTACGGACAAAATATATACCAATACACTTACTGTGTTATATCAATAGGAATTCAGTTTCTCTCTTCACATTTCCTCTGCGCAACCTGTGTATATTAACTTATATGCAGTTCTTTTTGTCTTTTTATTAATGACCGGTGAGTAGTTTTCTTCCAATGTTTTGCTTCTAATGTTAGAACTTTCTCATCCTACATTTTCATATGGTCAGTTTTTCAACTGTCAAAATGCTTTGTAGAGTAGAGTTGGTACATTCATCAGTGCTAACAAATTTGCTTCCTACGCTGTATATATATATATATATATATATATATATATATATATATATATATATATATATATTCATGTGTAGTATATCAATGTTATGCCTCAGAAGCACATCGGCGTAGAGTAATGGTTAACGAGGATAACCGCGTTAACCATTACTACTGCGAAGTGATTTTCATCCTCACTGACTAACCAATAAAACATTCGACATTTAACCAAAAAAGATTGACGTGTCTGCTTTTATTCCTTTTTTATTTATTGATTGATTTATATTATTTATTACTTAAAGAGAAATAAGTTGTTGATCTGAGCTGAAAACCTAAAAAAGTTCTTCTAGGAAAAACAAATGTTTAATAAACTCTACGAATCGACCATATGACTTATGACTTATGACATTCAAATTTTCTACGGTCTCCCCAATTTTCATAAACGACCTTTTTGATATCATCAGTTCTCAACTTCGTATCTATGCTAATGACACGACTATTTACTCCTTTCTTAATATTTATTCTAATCGGTTCGATAAGATGAAATTTGCAGCAGATTTCAAAAATGACCTAAGAACCTGCTGCTAACTGGTGCAAGAAATGGCGTATTAATTTTAACGCCTTCAAAACAAAACTGTTCTCTTTTAATCGTCTAAGAGAACCCCTTTCTGTCTTTCATCAGTCTGGCGGAAGGTAACCTCCAGTATAGTGACTCATTGCGCCTTCTTGAATTAACGTTTTCCGTTGACATGGAAAGATTATATTGAATCAATTGCTAGGTCTTCTGCTAGGAAATTTGGTTCACTGTGTCGTGCTAGACAGTTTTTTCTCGCCAGAATATATCTTACATATTTATAAGCCTACCATTCGTCCTTGCTTTGAATATTTCTGTCACATATAGTCTGGTGCTCCTGATATATATTTAGATATTCTTGATAAAATCCAAAGAAACATTCGAAATGTTATTGATCCTAACCTGGCATCTCGGTCTCATTCCCTTTCCCATCCACGAAACGTAGCTTCACTGTGCCCTTTCTATAAATACTTTCATGGTAATTGTTCTGATGAACTTTCCTCTGTCGTACCTTGACTTTATTAATTTAAACGCTGTACTAGATTGATGACATTATCTCATCATCTTACAGATGAAATGGTTAGATGTATCCAAAAGTTATATGCTAACAGTTTTTATCTATCGCACTTCTCGCTTGTGGAACTCTCTTCCGGTTTTTTGCTTCCCAGTCAACTTCAAAATTTAAATGCAATGTCAATCGTTATCTTCTGCTTTCTTAATTCTTTTCTTTTATTGTTCTCTCTTCTTAATAGTTTTCTCATATTCTGTAACACTTAGTAACCATTGCGCCATAGTGGCTTTATTGCCTTGCTTGAGGTGAAATGATTAAAAAAATATAATATTAACCAACCTAACCTAAACCATCCCTAAAATCCTTCTCATGCCATTTTTCAAAGGGTCACAAACATATTTCTTTGTAGCTGTGTAATTATTTTTTTCTCATGCATTCTCTCTTTTTTCGAAATCTTTCTTGCATTACTGAGGTCATTCTGTTTTAGACAACATAAGAAATCCACTTCTAATGCTCTAAATATTCGTAACATTCTTTTCCAGTCAAATTTCCGACGATTTCCTCATTTCGTACTTCAGTCAGTCAGTTATGTGTCATGCGTAATACACTATTAGGCGATCATGTATCTTTCGATACATGACTGACGAGGCAGATTTTTCGCCGCAGAAGAATGCCATTTCCTACTGCGAAGTTGCCATCTTAGGCTATAGTCCGTCCTGCTATTTGGCTGGGGCGTGTCGGGGCAAGAGGATTCATAATTTTTAAGGGTAATAGCACGTAAGTGAATGTGATGGATTCGACTGGAATTCGAACTTGGCTCTCCGATTCCGCAATCAGAGCCGCTATCCATTATGCCTTTGTTCAGTACCCTATGTTGTTTCTCGTTTTCCCTTGTGCATTATCAAGATTGCTCATTTCTCAAGTTCGAATTCCGTTCCAATATCTTCCAAATCTTTTCATTTTTGACAAAGTTTTACAACCGCAGAGAGCTGACATTCAACATAAAAACAGACTTCAGTGTTGGCAAACGAGTTACATAAGTAAACATTTGATATTAGTTAGGATGACAGTTTCTTTCAGTAAGGCCTAAAACATAACCTTACAAACAAAAGAAGAAAATACTTTCGGCCTGAAAATATGTTTTATAATTCGTTACGTTAAAACAAACAATTGTTGTGAGGTGTTTAATGGATTTTTTTCTTAATTATTTATAAGTTTAAAATAAAAACTATTTTTTAGAAAGAGTAAAAGGAATCGGAGAGCCGAGTTCGAATTTCAATTGAATCTATTACACTTACGTGCTAATATCCTTGGGAAAAGTATGAATCCTCTTCCTCTCCTCCCACCACCACCAACTATGGGTAAATACCAAGACAGACTGGGTTCTATAGCTTTGGATGGCAACTGGTCTACTGCAGAAAGAAATGGCAACCTACCTCGTCAGTCATGTATTGAAAGATACATGATCACCTAAGAATGTATCACGCATGGCACATAACTGACAAAACTGAAAATTAATGTTGTTTTTAGTCCTAGCAGACTTTCCACTCCTTTTAATTTAAAACTAAATTGACAGGAAATTAAATTTTTAGCTTATACATTTGCGTGTAAAACTTATGTTCGACCTTGCTAAATTAATTACTTTCATTAATTTTACCCCCAGATCGAGTGTGATTAGCAGTGCGATTTTCTCAGTACATTTTATGGTCGTTTACGGCCAGAAAACAAGTTACTACATTTTTGTTAATGGCGTATGGTGGGAAAAAAAGCCCATGCAAAAATACTGGGCCACCAGCGAAAATTTCCCATTTCATTTCTTTTTATAAGTAAGAAAGTTTTTTTGTTTTTTTTTTTTTTTGGGGGGGTTTTTTTTTTTTTTCAGAAAGTTATCTTTATTATTACAGGAAGTACAAAATGTCAGCGTATGTAGTTAGTAATTACTGTTGTTGCCTTTGACTCGAATAATTGCCTCAATTCGATGGGGCATTGAATGAAACAAATTTAAGATCTTTTATCCCATTACTTTTGACAGTACATACAAAGCTTTTGGTAATTGCGTGGTTTTTGCTGGAGCATTTGTTTCATTTCACTGGAGCACTTTTGTGCAGGCCAGTCTTCTAAAAGTCAAACATCTTTATCCACAATGCGTGATAAGGCGTACCATCCTGCTGAAAAATTTCTCCTTCTTCGTAGTCTGGCAGTTATGTGCCATGCATGATACACGGTTAGGCGATCATGTTTCTTTCGATACATGACTGACGAGGCAGATTTTTCTCACATTGTAAAGGTAGCCATTTCTTTCTGCGGTGGACCAATTGCCATCCAAGGCTATAGAACCCAGTCTGTACTGCTATTTACCCATAGCTGGATTAATATCTTTCCCAAGAATATTAGCACGTAAGTGAATTTAATAGATTCGACTGGAATTCGAACTCGGCTCTCCGATTCCTCAATCCGAGCCGCTATCCATTATTCCACCGTGCCTCCGATTCGACCGTAGTAAACTAATATAGTTTTCGCTGTTTAGGTTTCCAACAAGTTTTGCCAATTTTCTTCTCCCGTCGCTTTTGATGAAACCTCAGACCATTACGTGTCCATCGCCGTCTTTGTTGTGTATCTTACATTGTTTCATTCTCTCACTGGTCGTCTTTCATATTACTTACATTAGAATGTAACTCTGTTTTGCCTTCATCACTAAAATTTCTCACCTGTTTGGCGTTTGTTCTTTGATTGCCTACCGCGACTCATAATCTTTCTTTCATCTTTTTTGTCTAATCTTCCTGGTTGTCCTTGCACTTAAAAGATCCTAGTAATAGCAAATATCTTTTGGGTGGTTTGAACACTGTTTCTAGAATTTTCCTATCCGCCTGTCTATCTCTCATTGAGTCGTCTTACCTTTTTAATCAGAACCTTCATCTTTGTTTTAGCAGAAATTTTAGACATGATTTTAATGTAACAACAAGCTAATGTTCAACTACAATGACTTGACAAGTCACCCTACACTCATGTTAATTAGATGGAACAATTCCTACTTAGATATTTAGATATTATCATGTTTTTATCATATCAGATCTTTCAATGAGCCAGTTGTTTTTGCATGACATTTTTCAGTTTCGAGTTACTTAAAGGGTGTATCTTCTGTTTACACGGCACCTATGAAAACGCAACTTAATTATTTCCCAAACTTCAAGGTTCACAGACAGTGATAATGAAATTATACTACTAAACAATCGTAACTTCTTAATAAAATAAAGGTGTGTAATCATTTTATGTAGCTGGCCCAAAACATTTGTAC